TTTATGGAAATCTTAGTAGTTCATTTCTGACTTAAGAGCAGAGCAGAAGGCTTTAGTAAAAACTATAAGTCAATGAAGTCACCTATTTTTTAAATGATATAAATGTCGAGAAAAATTACAAAAAAAATGTCAGTTGAATCGTTTCTTTTGACATCGTTTGTAATAATTAATCCCTTCACTTTTTTGTGGCGCCACCGCCACGCGGCGTTTTTTGGCCGCAATAATTTTCATGTTGTAGTGTGATTTCATTTCTTTTTCCTCTTACTACACAGAAATTTGTAGCTTTACAGAAGTTAAGAATGACGAAAACTCCCCTATGCCCCTCGCCCTCTCCTTCAGCGAAACCAAATAAACATGCTTGACGAACGAAAATGTCGAAGTAATGTCGACTTAAGCTTTTCCTACATGAAGTGAAGATTTTGCCCAGTTCCTTGTTTCGAGCGTAGTTCACGATTTCAAAGAAACAAGCTGCAATCTTGATGATTTTGTTTTGTTATGTCATCATTGGTTGTTTACATTATTCTCGATTTTTATTTTTTTTATATCGATTTTCGATTAATTGAAGAGAAGTTGTGAGCGTTATGATAATTCACTCAAAAAAAATTCTGTGAACTGATGAAATCTTTACGAATTTCTAGGGACCATGAAAAATGGAAAAACGTGTTTGAGTTTTCTATTCAGTCGGGCATTTGTTCTAACAAAGACAACAGGAAATGTATCGCGGTGTATTCGGTGTTTCTACGCTCTCGCTATTTTTATCGCATATCATTTCACCATCTGTCGACCACTCGCTCGGTCGATCATTCATCATTCAACTCTATCTTTTTCGCAAACAATACATTAAAGCTCGGAGCGATTTCCAAGCTGATCATTGTCAATTCGTACTGTTTCGTATTTACACAACGGTTACGGTGAGGCGCGTTCTCAACGCGGTCATTGTGGCTATGGAGCGCGTCAGTCCACCACCGCCGAAACGGACACGAATGCTTCGTTTTTGTGACTTTGTCATTATCCAAATCTGTGCTAGTTTTTGCCATTGACCTGATTTTCGACTTTTTTCTTTGGCGCTTCCCTATGACGCTATCTCATTTCCGCTCAAAGCATTAAATGTGGCGCGTTTTGTTTATGTGGAAAAGTTCAGCTGGACTTTTCTTACTCACATAAAATCTGGACAGCCCCATAACCACATATTTTTTCAGCGGTGCTGCCGTCGTTCACATTCAAATTGCTCATTTCCTCCATTCTCATTCCATCGCACACTATGATACATATTCAGCTATATCCACAAATGAGTGAATTCAGCTGTAACTGGAACGGAGCGAATCGGTCATCCTTTGATTCTGCTTGAATGAGATACGAGTCTTTTTATTTATGTTGAGCACATGACAGTTCTTTTGAAAAAAGGATAAAAAGTATAAAGCTTTCGGCGTTGATCAATTCCTGAGAGATGCGCCATGCATTCGACTTCATGAAAGTGATTGATTGTATATCTAGCCTTTACAATAACTCACGGTGGCCAACCGATGAATCGACCCAGTGCTGCTATCCTCCCAGACAAGCCTGGTAACAATTAGCCCACCCTAGAGGGATGGAAGACTTGGTGGGCCAGGGGCTAGGGGACCGATTCCACGTGTGTCGCGGTGTCGCCTCCAACCGCTGCGCCACATGTATCTTTTTGAATATTTCTGTAAATCGAAGTGGTAGATTCCTAAGGTTGACTAACGATGAGGAGATCAAGCAACTTTATGCTTCCTTCCCGCCGCCACACCTCCCGTACTCTTTCTCTGTTTCTGTCTCTCTTTCCCTCCCTTACTTCATAAGTCCGAAGTTTTTCCTCAATTCATTTGGCCAAACTATAACCTCTAGTTTACGTTTTAATCGGATTCCTTAACTAGTAGAATATTTGCTGTTTTCGTTCTATTGATTGAAATTTTCTCCTTTCGTTTTTGATACAGTACTCCTCGATCCTTTCCACTCCATTGTAAGGCAACGTAAAGCTAGAGCCTTTCAACTTTCACCCTTTCTGTGATTTTCTACGAATTGACACATTTGCTACGACATGTATTGATTTAAATGCACCACTCGTATTAACACAATTAAGGCGATAGTTCAAGGTCTCTTGTAGAAGCCTGTCAAGTCTTCAGGTTCTCAAGTATTCTATTTATCGGGAAATTATCGGCAATTGACGAAAAACCAGCTTTGTCGCTAACGTATTAGGTAGAGATAAACTGAACAACCCGAAGAAAGCAGATAGGGTTAGAATGCTACAGTACTTCTTATGCTCTAAGAGCTTAAAAAGACTACTCTCTATCCCATATATTCATTAAATGTGTTTAATGTAATTTCGATTCTTGTTTTTGTATTTTGTTCGCATTCGTTTTCCTCTGCAATCATTATTGATCGTTATTGATCGCTGCAGATGATCAAATCACGAAGTCTCAACTTTCCATCTTCGCAGAATCCACGAATATGCTGTTCAGGAAGTGTGGATGAGATTAAAGCTTTAATGTGGGTTACTAAATGTAAATTAATTATGTATTGACATCGTTCTAATATGCTAAAAGTATGGTTCCGTGGACTGCGAAAGGATCTGGTATGAGAAGAGTCTATAAAAACGTTAAACGTTCCTTCGTTGCATTATTTAAATCCTTACGAACATTAAATTAGCTAAGAATGTGAAAAGGTGACTTAGATATAAACAAGAGAAAATTTTGAAAATACGGTAGAGTTGCTGTTATTATACTTTTTATCGGTCGTCTGATCACCCCATCATCTGTCCTTGTGGTAATGTCTCTTCAGAGCCGTTCTTCCTTCCCGCAAATTTTACTTGGATTTTAATTTCATTGTATCCTAGGTGCTCTTTTTTCCACCTCTGGGCCATGCATGCCATATCTTATCTTTATAAGTTATTCTTCTATTTCTATGATGTGGTTAGCTCTGGAATTGTTCTCTCCTATCGACAAGATCTCGCCGCAAAAGTGTGATTCGAGTACAACCTGAGAGGAAAGCGAGTTGTCAACCTATGCCAAATTCAAGCCCATTTTTGTTCAAGTATGAATCATGTTAAGTTGATAACAACCGGGTTGTGAAGCGGTAAGAATAAATAAGAGAAATCAGGGCTACACTAGGTAACCAGATATTATTTCACCTATGAAGCGGAACCATGCGTCATGGTTTGTGCAGGCTTTAAAATGAATTTTGGATTTATTTTTATTCTTAAAGTACACTTACGTATTAAAAAAATGACTTCAACTTCAAGTCCTTTTTCTTCGAAACACTGGCGAGTCGAATGAGCTCCGATTTTCTAGCGGCTATATCTCTTCATTTGATGGACTGATGACCTGTGGTAACAACTTGTGTTGAGGCGAATGCGTCCTTCATAAGTTCCTTTTCTTTCTGATTGTGTACCATGGTGGTGGAGCGTTTTTAACGTTTGCGAATATCAATCCTGCGCCGGTCCCGTATGTTTCTCTGGATCACTATAGTGCTTAGTTTGGCTTCAGGGTATGCTTGGGGCGGTGTTGGTCATATTTCAAAAAAAATCATTTAGGAGGTTTGTTATGTGAAATTCTGGTGGTGTATGTAGTCTCAGTTTACAGCGCTACGGGATAACTACAATACTTGTGTCGGCACGGCTCATACATTAGTCATGTATGTCGTGGTCAGCATTTTGCATTTTAGTGGGCCCTTGTCATGCGTATACGACTCTTTTTTCCCATCGGTTTCTCTTAACCAAGCTTCGGCCAAAAAAAGCTGTTAAGTATACACTATGAGGTATAAAAAAAACTTTTTCGGACGAGTTTATTCGTCCTTTGGAGTCCCATGGTGAAGGGCGAGATGTCAAAGCGGTTTTCTCTTCTGTTCATAAGGACGTAATTTATATGTGCGTAAGTCATGCCATTAGAAGCTCTTATATCAAACGGAGATTTCTTTTTTAAATAAATGAATTTTGGTGGAAAGTTACTGCATTGTACAATGGTCTAGCAAAATGCTTCTCGTTTTGGTCTCCTATTACTGATTATCGGATCCTAAGATCAGATGGATAAGAGGAACCTACATTCTCTTCTGCTCTTACACTGACCTTAAAATCTTCTCAGAAAGCTTCATACGGCTTTTTTTGGCTACTATTTTTTTCAAATGTTCAGTATAATTCGTCTAATTGGCTCTTAACAGCTGTGCGAATCTGTGAGTAGCACTTCATGATACTGAACTTCTTGGCGAAGATGTTGGAGCTAGGAGATGAAAAATGGTGTGATATGTTCTCTTGTGAGTCGCAGTGACAGGTAACGGTTGCTCGTATGACAAAGCCTAAGCCGCCGATATTTCGCAACAGGATCTTCTCGAGATAATAGGGATCTCGTCGTTTAATTGACCCATGTTGGCCTTCTTTCCTTGGTTTTCTGAAGGATGATCATGTGAAACTTGATAAGATCTGCGGTCTATTGTTAGAGCATTAAGGTCAGGTCATAAAGACTATTCTGACGTTGTAGGTGAAAGGAAAGAAATAGTCTTGTGATGTATTGTAGACAAACACGTTGTTTTGATGCCGTTCTCATGACGTTCTATAAAACTTGACACTTGATCACCTCATTATTTCCCCTTCCCACTGTGTCACCAATTACGACTGCTGGTTTATTGCTGACTGTGTGGTATGTTTTCTCTCGGAGTTCTGAACTGGAATTGGAAGGGAGCTCCCCGAGTTAATGATTCCCAGGAATCACTGCTATACTGACAACAACGCGAGTGCTTAGCTGAAGAGTGATGACGATTTGGAAAAACCCACGGCTTTCGAGATTCCATGAGATGTAAATTTTGTCCATCGAGTAAAGTACAAGTAAGAATGAAAAATAGGATTCTTTGACTTTATGAATGTCGTTAATATCGAGCCAGATCGGCTTTGTAGGGGTAAATGAGCAATGCGTGGTGGATAAGGCTGTGTGTCGAGTAGCCCATATTTTATTCCCGTCCCAAGATTACTGAAGAATGAACAACAAACTTATATGATTAACGTGATTGTTTTTGTAGAAACTGCGCTTCACAAAAAGTTTGAAGTGATTCTAGAAAATTTCAGTCACAGAACTCGCTCATCACATTGGGAGCCTCCATGGGCCTTATGGCGCTGTCGCATGGGACTCCCATATGGGTGGGAACAGGCAAGAGATGATTCGGGTAATATCTATTATATTGAGTGAGTTTTTTACGTTTTATTTCAATTTCGTATGACTTTTTCAAAGGTCTGGACTCTTATAGGAGAAGCTGTGGAGGAAATCTTGGTGGAATTAATGAAATTGCCGGTTCTTTGGTGATTAGTCAAGTTAAAATTGCGCAGTGTTTTTCGCGTTTCATCAATCATTTGATGCATTTTTATATCTTGTAGCGGAAGTTTGTCATATTAAGAAGCTTTTGGTGCATTGATTAGATTGATGAACTTGATCTCTGGCTATTTTTTGGTTCGATTTCGCTGCCAAGGTAAATCCTTCCGTCATCTTGGGGTCCGCGAATTGCTACCAAACTTGTCTAGGAGGCTAGATACGTTGACTTGACATATCGTTGTTCCATCACAACTCATTGTTTAGGCCAGAAATGCATTCAGCTACAACTATGATACTTAGTGGAGTGAAATATATGGCACATTCCTAAGGAATAGGTTAACGCCGGAGGGTTTATCTATTTTATCCTTGCCAAATGACTCTAGGGTTGCGGCAGAACATTTGTAATTCCACTGAAACCAGTAAAGGAAGGAGTGATTTGACATAGATTTAATAAACCTATATTTAAGATGCTTACTGTTAACTTTCGAAATCTCACCAAGCCGAGATTGATTCATATATTTTAGTCACATCCATCGTACAACGACCTACTCGGATCCACGGTATTCATCAGTGCCAGAAGGCCGGCGAACAGTGAAGTTAAGACGAAAGCGAGACATTGGCTTTGGTTTTGTGGCAGCTGGCCAACATCCTACGGTTATCCAATTTGTCTCCATAGGTTCGAGTTTTACGCTTAGAACAGTTTTCTTTTGCAAAATTTTTTTTCCAGTGATGTATGAGTATTATATTGCTGACAATATCTTCCCTTTTCATCGAGAGTGTTTGTAACGCTGTTGTTATTGGTGCCCTACGATCTACATAGTCACTAGTTCGATCATACAGGCAGAACGATCCATCGCCTAATTCATCTGACGCAGGCAAATTTGTGGAAGATTTGTTTAGGAGGATACAGAACGCTTTCTTAATAATACATCAGTAAGCCAGATATGCATTCAACCATCTCTCATGAATTGAACGCTGGGCGCATCCCTTAGGGATTGTCAATTCAGAACGCTTTGTCCTATATCTTTTAATGCTCCACACCAATGATGTAGCACCTCGTCGCGGCTGTTTTTGTCTTGGATGTTAAAGAGGGAAAATCTATTTGTCTAATATAGTGCAAATTGCGGAGCTCCACAGAAATACGGAGCTCTAACTTCATATTTCTTTACGGAAGTCTGACAAAGACAGACTAAACACTATGTGGAGTAAAAGAAAAACTAAAATAAGTTCAACTGAGAGCAAAATGTGACGATCCTGGTTTTCCTCAATTGAGTAGAGCTCAGTGATTAGGTCTGGTATGCAAGGTGGAGGTATGGAGTTTACTGAACCTCGTTCGAATTACTCGATAATTGACATGGTTAAGGATTACAAAGCTGATACAGTTGATAAAGACTAATTTCTTTTACGCTTTTTATTCCATCAGCTTAATGTTCTCTATGTTCTTCTTTTTACCTAGCCAGCTAAAATAGAAAGCTGTGCAAAGTTCTCCAGTTATCTGTTATTCAGGAGCAATTCTACCATAGAACAAAACAGTTGTCATCGCCCAGTATCTTTATTTACTCCTCTTTTGTTTCGGACCATTAAAAATAGGTTTTATAGAAGGTCCTTCGGATGGTGTTCTTTTTGCCAACGATCAAATTTTGGAGGTGAATGGTTGTGACGTGACACAAGAGACCAAAGACTCGGTGGTGACGATGATACGTTCGTGTGAAGATGAGCTACTGCTCACTGTCGAACAACTGCCCGTAAAACCAGTTCGTTTCAGGTTACTCAGATAAAACCGAGTTTAACTAAAAATACTTGCTTTTAAAATGCTAAAACGTTTTTTCCGGTCAATCTGGAACGTTGGAAGTAAAAGTAGAGTGCTTTTTATCACATAAAAATCGTTAACTGAGATTACTCATAGCAAAGTACAACCGAATGTCTAACCGCCTCTTCAATATAGTATTTGTAAGCCTCCAAAGAATCTGCTTTAGAATATGGGATTGCTTACTTATTTATTACTTTTAACTTATTTTTTCTTAGTGTTTAAGACTAATTCGTGTGCGGCGCATTGGTCGGAGGAGCCCTGTGACGCACGCGTGGGATCGATCCCCGCGCCCATGGCCCACCAAGCCTTCCATCCCTCCTAGGTCGCCAAGTTGGTATCAGACTTGTCTTGGAGAATAGCAGCACTGGCTCTATACATTGGTAGGCCACCACGAGTCATTGTAAAGGCCAGATATGAATTTAATCACTTCCAGCGTTGCTTAATGAAGTCGAATACCTGACGCACCCCTCAGGGATTGGTCGACAACGACAGCCTTATCCTTTTATAATTTTTAGTTTTTAACTATCTTAGCTTCCAGTGAATTTTACTCTTTGAAGTAAAATTACTAGGTCTTACCCACCCTGAACACTAAAATTTACAATCGTCCATGTCACTGTGATAAAGTTCTGTGCTTCTATTAGCCATGAATCTTCGTCCAAATATCTTCCAGCACCAATGATGTTCTCATCGTACCGCTGAAATTGGCGTTGCTGGATACGTATTGAAGGTTTTAAAAAAAATACTCCGCAGATCTTCTGTCAACACATCTGTGACTGTATTCATTGATTTAAATGCAAGCACAACGGAAAGTGACTTCGCTTTTAAAGTTTGAATCAGCCGACCTCAGCCGTGGTCATCACATTTCAGAAAACGAGTTCCCGTTAATCTCAGCATGACTAATCAACATATATTTCTTAACTGACAAGCTAGCAGTAGGTTGATGAAGGATAGCCCAAGAAGCTTTTTATCTAGCTCATGTTAGATTATCGATGAAACAATACGTAAGCGACATTGTTTGGTATTCGCTCATTATTAGATTAATTTAACTACTAGTATTTTTTAAGCTTATATCTAAAAACTGAGGCAAAAGATACTTCATTAGAAAGAGTTGTTCTAGGACAAATTTTGTTCAATAAGCTTCTGAAATCTTCAAGTTTCTAAGTACTTCATTTATTGGCGATTATCAGGAAGTTCGAACAGTTGCCATTGGGCCATAAATTGGACTCTTACTTTGTAAAGCCGCTTTTACCTACAACTTCAGAAATCGGCGAGGCGGAGTTGTCGCGTTCGATTCACAGATCGAGTCCTTGTTGCATCAGTACATGATTCGGTGAGCTGATCGGAAGAGAATATTAGTCTTATAATATAGCGTGAAACTGGATGGAGAAAATTCAATTCGTTTAGTCTCCTGACTCTCTCCCTCCACTACCAAATGCACTACGGGTCTACCTAGAAAACGGTCAAACACGTTCTTTCCGATACGATGATACAACAACGGTTAAGGTCAGCTTATTTACTGCAGTACATACGACTATAAGCGCTTGGGATATATCTTTCAGGACATTATGGATTCTATCTTTTCGAAGCTACAGCTAACGGCAAAGTCGTATTTTGCGTTAGCCATTGAGTACTCTCTAGGTGCCAGGTCTAGCAGGGTTAGTTTACTTAGACCGGATGCAAAAGTAGACACGGTGAGTTGTTGGGAGTGAAATTACTAACCCTTAATTTTGAATAGAATACGACAAGCGGACGTTTTCGCCTTCTGAAAATCGACACACTTAGCTTCTAGGCGTTCTGAGTTCAATTTTTATTTGCATGAAATCATGTAGGAGTTTGGAAGGGCAGTAGTAAAATCCTCTGTTGTTGGACGATTTCATTTGAACGGCAACCAAAGTGTACCTATATTCGAGCCAAATCGTATTTCGCTACGGTTCGTTTTTGTTAATGAATTCAAGTGAATAAAAAAATAGTTTCAGATAACTCGAATGCCGAACTCGGACCATCTACGTTGTGTGTTTCGTTTCGCTTTCATACCAAAAGAAATCCAAAAAGTTTGGACAGAAGACCCTAGAGCTTTAGACTATTTTTATCAACAGTGCGTTTCTGATGTCGTTAGAGGACGTTACGCATTCGAAATGAGGTAGTACATGCTTTAACCAACTTCTTGCTTTTATAAGGTTTTGGTAGGTACGAAAATTCAATTATCTGAAGACCAGATGGTACGTTTTGATTAGCTGGTTAAGTGAATTTGGTCCAGGTGCACTCCTGTTCTCCCTAACAATGTCTGCAGTTCTTCTCCTCATTTTTCGTTCGATTGTTCATGTCTGAAGTAGTACTTGGATGCTTGCGTACTTGGATGGCTCGTCCTCACTGTCTGTGCGTACCGCAGCATATCCTTCATTATTCTGAGTTTTGCTGGTTTAGCCATTATGGTTTCTTGAGGTGCTGAGTCAACCTGGCCAAACTCTGCTCCAGGTCGTCACCACCGCAGGTAGTCGCCGCCCTTGTGAATCAGAGGTAGATTCGCCACCATGCGACTAGTTTGATATGCGCATGAGAAATTCTGAAAAAAATCAATGATAATAAGAATGTAGTCAGAAAGTTTAAACAAAGTGATTTGAGGCGAATTTTCGAATTTTTATGCGTAATAATCTGATACTGATGCAACTCCAAGACAAAATTCTACTGAAGATGTGATAAAGCTGTCAGTGTGGTGAACTGACATCTTGTCTAAGTATGACCGGAAGGGAACTAAATGATATAAAGGTTCAGGTACGAGGCATGTATTCGTTTAGCCGCTTTGCATATGCAGCAGGTTGCCGTCGAGTCGAATCTTCTAAAGGAGAATGGAACTGTGTCCCTGGCAAGACTAGAGTGAGTTTTGAAAATCTAAAGAAAATATGGTTGGGTTGGTGAGAAATTGATGCAATACGTTGGAGAGGTTCTTTCTTTCCTTCTTAAACTTCTACTAGATCCACTATATTCTTAAAACGTCTCAGGTTACTTTTCAAAATGTATGAAAAACTCCACACGTCCGAAGGACAAATGGATAGGTAGATTCCAGCAGTAGCGTTTACTAGAAATTCCTGCTCGGCATCACCGTGATCGCTAGATCCTCTAGCATCAACCGCGCTGTGCACAACACCACACTGTCTTTCTAGCTCTCACTTCGCATCATGTGTTATCATTAATTTCGAGACCTACGGAGGTCGGCGATGTGTGCTTTCGCCTATCAGGCAAAATTTAGAGACGAACGGCAGAGGAGCACTGCTATATCCTACATGTAACTTGAAGCATGCGTTGTTAGATTTTTTCGGGATTTAAAAATGCCTTTCGGAGCAAGTATTTCGTCGACTCCAACGAGCTTAACTTGGACTCCAACGTCTCGTGACTATCGGGTTTCTCGTAGAACTTTTTGTACTATAAATTCACAAAATCTTATTTATTGAGCTAGATTGAAACGTCATTATTTATTCGCTTTCTTCTTTCGTTTTTATTTCTATATCCTTACTTTTTAGAGGACTTTTCCTGAATCATTAAGGCTTTACTCGCTCACAATATTGAAAAAGGATTTTCAGATGTGAATACGGTATGGATTCTTTTTTGCCGATGATACTATTGGAAAATGTGAAGGTTCGCGAGATTCGGAAACATATTCGGTACTATTTGAAGAGAGACAGTGCCAAATTGAGCGAAAGTCTGACCAAACAAGCGGCACGAGGGGACTCGAATCGGCGTATGTTGCATATCACATCAGGACGAGTTTCACAGATCATTCATGCTGATTCAGCTCTGCTTTCATTAGGGGTGACCGACGCATCGGTGTCGTTGCGTGTTCGCTACCTGGAGCTGCTCTCGCATTTGCCATCGTTTGGCGGGCGCGCCTTTTCAGTAACTTTCAAGGAAAGCCAAATCGATATGATTATACAGGTGATCAATATTTCACTTTTTGCCTTTTTTATTTTCTGCCCATTACAGTTTTTCATGGCAGATTACGTGTGATAGAACCACAATGATGCTGAGATATTTACAAAATTCCGGACCACAGGTGTCTGCGGTGGGAAACGGACACGCTATTAGCCTTTCTGGGGACTAACGCGTTCACCGCCACACCATACGGGCCCTTCGTTTCGCCTGTCTCTCATCTAGTTCTGTCTAGTTCCACTTCGTTTTTTATTTTTAAATAAAGGGCTTAAGATGCAGGATTGTTGTCCTATTGTAAAATCCTCTTTGAAAATGTTTTGAATGGATAGCTTATCATTTTCTACATAGATAACTATCAGTGAAAACAGAATCAAAAATCGAGGGAGCCAATTTTCTAAGAACCTTCCTGAAAATGCCATTTTTACGTTTCGGTATTGACAACTGGATAACCAGTGGATACTGCGATCTGGTTTGGTAATTGAAATTTACTAAACAGCCTTTACATTATAACATTTTAAGAGCTGAACAACTTACAGATAGATCCCCGTACTGGACTATTAGTGCGGCATCCGGGAAAGACTGGCCGGCCGACAATATCGATCGATTTCGGTTTGATCGATCGTCTCGTAGTTCGGCGAGAATCTGAAATCGTCTCATTAATCAGTTTCCGAATGACCAGCAGTCCTGAACAGGTGTGTTTTGATTTGCTGCCGAGCGTTAATCCAAGAGACATAGTTTGCAAGAGCAAAGTTCTAACGATTATGCTATCGTGTTTCCTGTTTTCTTTTAGTGGTCTTTCAAGAGTTCGGTTCCTTATACCTCCATTCACGAATGGGAAGTCTTCACATGAGACGCATTCTCCCAGCATCAAGTCATTCGTTTTCTCGTACCATTCATTCATTCACGCAATTGTGGGTATACTTGTGTTGGCCTTCGTCTTCTTGCTTTGGGATACAGTAACTGTGAATAAAGCTTGGCTAAGCGAGTTATGAACATACCATGCTAGTTTGTTCTCCGCGTTGCTTGCTTGGAAGTAAGACTAGTGCGCCAATTATTTCACTTGAACTCAAGGTTTTCTTTGTTGCCACGAAAGCAAGCATTCTTTGGAAGTCACACTCTTCGTCACAAGTGATTCAAAGTCTATCTGTAATAACTGCCACGACCGACTTTCTATTAACCTCGGCATCGATCATGTAATTTTCTTCGTATTTTTGTTGTGCAAAAATCTGTAATGCTCACGCTGTCCATCACAAATAACTCAAAGCCAGTGGATCTGTGAGATCATGCAGGACATCGCTCATGTCGGAATTATGAGCTGCAGTTCCAACATCGCTGTTGTCCTGTCTACGTGTTCAACATTATTCGACGTATATACAATGACATGTTTTTTCGAGAGAATTCGCTAAGGCAATTTTCTTACATCATTCAATAGGCCCTCTGAGCATTATCCGTAGTGCCCGAAGAGACCGAAGGGACCCATAAGGAAGTGTTCCTTATACGAACGTGCACTTGTCGCTGCACTCTATTGGTTCCATTTCCAACTCAGTTTTGTTTTTCAAAACTCGACGTGAACACTACTTTCAATGAGAATCCTATAATTCCCGAGGGGGCAGTTGAGTAAGCGGACCTTGAAGAACTAAGGAATCGTGGCACGCTACATTCCACAATCAACTACTGATAAAATGACAATTGAACATTGTATTATTTTCACGAACGGCTTTGAATGAATTATCATTGCTTTGATTTTTGAGTAACGAACTGTACATAGATTCTTTGAAATCCAGAAACACTTTCTGTTCGCACCGAGACGCCGAATTTCGGGAAGCATTTCTCTTCCTAATATTATTGTGCGGCTTATATTGGGAAATTTATAAATCTTTTCTTTACACAACCGTCTTTGACTCTATTGTGCGTATCCCAGCACTTCTTGCATTCGATCCGTTTCCTAGCATCCATCATCCGCGAAGGTTCTCGAAATTTGAATGTGAGTTGGACGGCTGCTTTTGGTGACCGAATTGTTGGTCTTCTTCATGAATGTCGTTGAATACTGGTCGAGTCACTTCTCTGACGTGGGATAGCCGTGCTACAGCGCTGCCAGGTGAACTGGAGGGAGCGAGTGGTCGGAAACAAGTTTAGGACCAACTACCTGATGCCAAAGGGATGGGAAGCTTGGTGAGTCCACTGCGGGGTCGAACCAGAGCCGATCTCATGAACGGCGTCACTACTACTGCGCAACCCGCTCTTTATTTATTATTTATCAATTTATATCTAGCCGGTAGTTTTGGCGGTATTTGCTTTTTTACCTACTTCTGTGACCTTGTGACCAGCTGTCTTTTAAAAATATGAAAACATTTATTCCGTACATTTTAGGCTCTCGAATTTCTGGTTGACAAGGACGACATCGACGATCTTGCTGGCTACATTTGCGGTTACCAGTTAATTCAAAGTAGTCGTCAACTCGCCTGTGATTTTGACGACACACCACCAGTTCAGATTATATCGGGAACTGATCGTATGTTGTTGCTTCTTATCAAATTCGCAACATTTCTGTTCCATATAAAAGAGGCCTCCTCAATAAATAACAAAAGCGGCTCATCCCAAAATGGTCTATGATTCGTAGTGCCTTGTTCCATGAATTTTTGTTGCTTCGAATCTTTGTTTTTTTTTTACCGTATTTGTGCTGATCGTGGGAACGTTCTAGTCTGGCATTCTTCTTAGGACTTAGAGAGAAAGGACTCGACCAGTTTCAACGACACTTATGGTGAAAAGAAAAATCTCCAGCGGCAGCCGAAACTAGACGTAAAAAGTGAAAGACCTTCGTGGATAATGGTTGCAACGAAATGAATCGAATGCAAGGAGTACTGGGATCCGCGCAGCGGTTTATACTGACCATACAACTGAAAGTATGCCAAGATATAAGCAAAACTCGGAGCCTCAGGTGGGCTTTGGAACCGCGACGATCGTTTCTGGGAGTTCACGACTATCCTTCACACCAACCGAGGTCATTGGTGCGCCTTTTTCCCGGCCAGTTTTTTTTACTCAAATGGGGTGTCAGCAATCGCTTCTCAACGAGGATGATCTGGGATGCACAAATAGCCGTTGAACACAGTTCAGTTGAAACTGTAGTCGAAATCACATTGTTTAACCTCTTACCATTGACTGGTGATTGCTGATAGCATCGTTACGGTATAAAGCTGGCTGAGAGAAAGACAAAGCCAGCGCCTTGGTTGGTGTGTTGGATAGTAGGTGTCACTTTTGTAAGGGTAATCGCGGGTTCAAGGCCCAACTGTGGTTTCAAGTTCTGTTCACATCTTAGCATCTTTGTGGTTGTATTTCGGTTAATAGCCTCTGTGAGAAAAGAATAGGAAGTAAATGGAAGTTGAACATAGTGACCATGCAGTTTCTTCGTTCGGAAATGCCGTACTTTTTTCGTTAGGCATATTGGATTCAACATGGGATGGTTTCGCGATCTGCAATTCCGCCAATTAATGGACCAGAATCCTCCCCTAATACTGGAAGCCGGATGTTTTTCCAAATTTACGAAGGAGTAGTTTGGCTACTTCGATCACTATCTAATCCACAGTAGTAATGGTCGAAGCTGCAGAAGCTGGGAGGAGCATTCGCAAAGCCCACCGAAGCTTCGTCAATTACATGACCGAGATGATTGCACTCCCACGCCCAGACGAAGCAGTTACATCGTCCAGAAAGACGATGGGAAAAATCGTTTACGAATGCTACATAGATCTCATAGCCACGTCCACCTTCTGTCATATGAAATAAAGCAGAATGGATACGTTGTACTACCGGTTCTTCCTTTCAAAATTCGATATGCCATTTCGTCGGTGAAGAATAGAACAGCACCAGGTCTGGACAGGATATGATCTGAACACTTGAAGAACCTTCCGCCAATTCTGATCAACACACTGGGTCGGCTCTTCATATGTTACGTGCCTGAATGCAAAGTCCCTACTCAACGGAAGACCAGCAAAGCCGTGCTATTTTTCAAGAAAGGTGATCTACACGATATCGGCAACTATCGTCTAATCTGCTTGGTGTCTGTCGTCTACAAACTTTTCATTTGAGTCATCCTAAATAGGACTGACAAAACATTGGACGAAGGACAGCCATGTGAGCGAGCAGGGTTTCGAAAAGGATTTGGTACAGTGGACCACATCCACACGATGAAAAGGTTCAATGAAGTATCGCGAGGGTATAAAAGACCACTCTGTCTCACTTTCATCGATTTACAGAAGGCCTTTGATTCCACTGAGATAGAAGCAGTCAACGAAGTCCTTGATAGTCAAGGAGTCCATACTCAGTACAAAAAGATTCTTCGGGAGCTGTGCAAAATTTTCACAACCAAGATATCACCATTCTACAACGATATTAACATTGACGTCAAAAGAGGGGTTAGGCAAGGCGATACCATCTCTCCAAAATTATTTACCGCCACTCTCCAGAATGTTATGCCAACATTGGAATGCCATAATGTGGGAGTGAAAATCGACAGTCGTCAGTTACATCATTTTCTCTTTGCTGATGACATCGTCCTTGCAACACCAAATATTAGCCAAACGGAACGTATGCTTGCGGACTTTGATAAAGCCTGTGGAAAGATTGGTCTTAGACTAAATCTTACAAAAGCGATGTTCGTGAGGAACGGATTGGTTTCATATGCCCCATTCGCGCTCAACGGAACGAGTATCTCCGAATGCTCCAGTTATATCTATCTAGGTCGGGAAATCAACATGATGAACGACTTAGCTACAGAGCTGAGCAGAAAGAAACGAGCGGCTTGGGGAGCTTTCAAGAGCATCGAGGATGTAATGAAGAAGAAAGAAGAAAGAACACCCGACTCCGTGCCCACCTTTTCGATTCAACGGTACTTCCTGCTCAAACGTATACGTCAGAAACCTGGTCGCTGCGTAAGCAGGATGAAAGATCACTCAGCGTTATCGAACGCGCAGTCGAAAGGACGATGCTAACAGTATCCCGTTTCACACAGGTAAGGGATGGGATCCGAAGCTCCGACCTGCGTCAACGATCAAAAATCAAAGATGCCGTTCTGTACGCCAAACGGTCGAGGATAAGGCGGGCCGGATACGTAATGCGTATGAATGGCAACCGATGGACAGGAGCCGTTAGTGATTGAATTCTTTGGGATGTCAAGCGTACTGCAAGGAAACCACCGACCCGATGGTCAGAGTTCTTTACGAAAATCGTAGAAGAAAGACATGGTGCTCGACGAGTCCTTAGAGCGAGCAGAACTGGGTTACTTTTGCACGCGACAGCGAAAAATGGAAGATTTACTGGCGTCCGCTCGAGTCATTCGACGGTCAGCGGGACTACAGGGGTGACAGGTGACAGGTTATCTATTCCACAACTGTTCATCTATATGCTTTTGTTTAGTTTTCAGTTTACAAATAGAATTATTTGTTGCATAAATTGGTAACACCAACACTGTAAGGTAATTAAAAAGTGAAGAAGAGTACTTAAGAAAAAAAACTCGATTACTTGAATTCGTTGAAGTTTCGTAAGTTAGTTCATAGAGAGTGCTCATTTTTTTGTGATTTGCATACACGTCTCTATTGTGGCTGCTGTCATCTGACTCGTAGCATTGGGTAATTAAACATTATTTAGTCAATAGCAATAGACAAGTACGGAATGTGATTAACAATCGTACAGAGGTTAAACACTCAGTGTGGAGTAGGATGTTGCACAATATATGGTACATAGAAGCATTCTGGAGGTATTGTTGGAAAAGTGGAACTACAATTCGTTTAAAGACGTAGAAATGCTGGGTTAAAAAATAGGTTGCAAAGTAGATTTCCATTGTGACAGAGAACATTCTCTGTAAAAGTTTTAACATCAATGTTCAGCTCCGCCATACTCGGCAGTGCATAAAGTGATTCCGTGTGGATGGAACTACACCAGTGGTATTTCAACACATGATCGGGTAAAGGTTTAATATTGGTATATATTTTTGTTTGATAAACGCTTTATAAATAGGGATAGAGAAGACTGCAGACTGTTGATATAAAAAGGATAAAGCTCTCAGCGTTGATCAATCTCTGAAAGATGTGCCATGCATTCAACTTTATTAAGCTTCGTTGAAGGTAATTGAATGCATATCTGGCTTTTACAATGACTCGCGGTGACCTACCGATGTATCGAACCAGTGCAGCTATCTTCAGAGACAAGTCTGGTACCAATTTGCCGACCACGGAGGGATGGAAGGCTTGTTGAGCCACGGGCGTCTTTTGATATCTTTCTGATGACATAAAAGACGGGCGAGCATTATTCAAGTTTCTATCGGTAAAGATCGACTTACTTTTTGCGGTTGTACGAAAAAAATGTCAAATAAGTAGTGGCTTTTCTTAAAAGAGGCGGTTGTGAATCCCTCTGCAGAGAAAGTCTTAATTAAAAGCAAGCTAGCTGGTAAAGATAAGAAAAAGTAGAAATTCTTTGCACCATATCTTACGTTTTTGACTTGAGTCACCCAGTTTTTGTTATTCCTTAATTTCATTTCGTTTTAGACTTTGGATCTAACCGTGGATCCACCACCGTACGAGCTGGCAAATTCATTCGCTGATTCTTACCAGAAGAAAATGGAATCTCAACCAAGGTGGTTTTTGCTCTTCGATTTTTCTTCCCGTTTCTCATTGTAATCATTTTTACTTTCATTCTGCGATAAACTCAATCCACTGGTGTATAATTTCAGGTCTCCATCACCATCACGACCAAACTCGGACACTGTAAGAAAGACATTATTGCATGCGACGGATTCTTTGTTGATTAAGAATAGTCAGAAACTACAAAGAAAGGAGGACATAAGTCAGCTGATACCAAGGTGAGAAGCAAAGCCTATCTCCAGGGATTATCTTTACATAAATACCAAAGGTGCGTGCGGCACAGCGGTCGGAGGCGTTTTGCCACACACACATTGGATCGATCTCCGCGCACATGATTCACGACGTTTTCTATTCCTCCGGGGTAGGCACATTGGTACCAAACTTGTCTGGAAGGATAGCAGCACTGGGTCGATAAATCGGTAGGCCAAGCGTATCATTGCAAAGGCCTGATATGTATTGAATCACCTCCAAACGATGCTTGATGAAGTCGATTTCATGGCGCATCGCTCAAAGCTTGATCAACGCCCTGAGCTTTATCCTTTCTATCCTTTAAATGTCAAGAGCTTGGGGTGAATGTCGATGCATTTTGCTCCGCGGCTCTGCCTTTCTTCTTCTTATCACTTTTTTGTAAGATTATTGCTTTTTTTACTGTATAATAACAATTCATGGGGCGTAACCTGGATTGTGGTGTAATCATGGCATTCGAAGGTGGTTTCTTCGCCAAGTGAATGGCGTTAATTTGAAACGATGCAGTGACAATAAAAGGGTTTTTTTATTATAATTATGATTCGATTGCATTGAAATCATTTTGGATAAAAATAGGTTCAGTAGTTCTATTTTAAAGGATAGCTCGTCATATGGAATCGATTTCGGATTCATCGGATGTGGACGATTCGTTGTTGAACAATCCGTTGAGGAGTCCAGTGTTGGACGGTGCGAATGCTCTAGTTCTGAATCGGTTAGTTTTTTCTGAAATTCACA